CATTTTACTGGGCTATACTTACCTAAGTAAGATCAATTACTGTCGATAGGTAAAGGAAAACTAATCTGCTGGTTTGGGCTGCAGTCCCATAATCATTTACCTGGGAGGAAGCCTAATTGTATTCCATGACACTTGCTTCTGAGTTGACAAAGATCACACTGTGTATTATATCCTGGTAAGATTCCTATAACTACTGAACTCTAATTCAAAATCACAGGTTAAGTCTCACTTAAATCCTATTCATTTTAAAGGGTCTACTCCAAGCAAGAATAATCCTGGATAAAACCCAAGAATACATTATTTCTCTATGATATGCAGTTACTCTGTTGCACAAGCTTGTATCCATTCTGAACTTCAGCAGTGACAGGATGGTCAATGAAACAAGATCAAGTCAAGCAAGTCAATACGTCAATGACTGTAGGTTCTCGTAAACAAAAGCTATCAAAATGCAGATGGGCGGAGCTGTTTCTTTAACAGTAGACTCTGTTTCAAGTCCCAGTCTGATCCTCTCTCCACCACGGTATCCCAGAGAACTCCGGGTCATGGCATCCAACAGATTTCAGATACGGCTTTCCTTCAGAAACACACTGACACTTAAGCCTCTTTCATAAACTTTGTGTCAGAACAGAAGGTTGTGCATACATTACACAGAATGGCAGTGCCACCAAGGGTTTATGTGGGTACCCACACAAGGCACATTGGTAAACAAGGTTGTCATATTCACAATTCTAGATGCATGGTCAAAACACTGTAAGGCACAATTCTGGTCGGGGCATGCTGAGATTGTGACGCTTTCTAACCACATGTAGGAGCGCACCTGCAGAGTTCACACCTGGAACCGTAATGTGTGACATGGCCGTGACCACCATAAACACAGGAGGGGGGATGTGAGTGCACTTTTTAGCATGTGTAGTTTTTGCAGCTCCAGAACAAAAAGCAGCCATTAGCTCAGGGGTGAAGCAACTTTTTTTTTCCCAGTGCGCTTCCCTTCAAGTTGAATATAACTTCCCTGCCACAGTGTAATCTAGGCAATTTCAGTTCTAGGAAGTCCAGGGAATGCTAGTACTTATGATGTATAAGAACCTGCTGCAAAATTGTCATTTCTATCCACGTCGGAAATACTCTACAATTGACATTCATTATGATTGGGTGGGGAGATGTTGGTGCATTTATACTTCGATTACATGCATTGAGAAACTACAGCCAACTTCTATTTCTTAGCATGCATACATGAAGCAGAAATATTCCTCAAATTGAAAAGAGAAAAATAGCTTAATTCAAGCACTTGGGTAAGATTAATATACCTATAGTGAAAGTCTTCACATGGGTAATTCATGTATTATGCAGCATCCTTTCATATATTCCTCAAACATATTTTCAAAAGTATTATGCAGTATTTCAGGTATTTATTGTCCCAGTCACCTCCCCATTTTTCACTGAAGAAGACACTGTCATGAATTAAATAGGGACCATTTTATTTTCCTTATATTGTATTTCCTTATATAGTTCTTATATTATAAATTTTAATTGTTAACTTATCCTAACAACTGGAAAACTTTTTTCTTTAATAATTCTCCAAGGGCTGTTTTGTCATCAATTTATTGGTACTTCCTTTGGGTCTAGATGGTGCTGGGATCTGGATACATTCAAAAGAAAAGAATGGTTGCAACAGGAATCTTAGCAGTGAGAGAGACTTGGAATGCAATGGCTCACCAGCTGCAGTTTGATCCTTATTCTCATGCTAAATTAACCTTAGGTAAGAAACCAGTTTTGAAAATAGAAATAAGACCTTTTGTATGGAAAAATTGGGCTGACAGTGGAATGTATTCTTTAGATCAGTAACAAAGTTTAGACAATGAATTCCTATCATTTTTTAGCATTGCAGATTAGATACCACTTTTCGTTCACCACAAATTGGCAGTATATTCAACTTCAGCATTTGTTGGGATTCTATATATGGCCCAACAGCTGTACATAGCATTGCACTGCTTCACTGTTGGAGGAATTAATTGGTTTCTTTCAGAATTCTGAGCTCACAATAACTGTCTCTAAGAGTCTTCTGGAATGTAGTAAAGTAGATGCTCAGAAGGTAAGAGATCAATGCAACAAGAAACTGAAATGTTCTACATAGCTGAATCAATGGGAAGTCACCTTAGGTTCCACATGCACTATCTCTGTAAGTAGATTCCACAAAACTTGGTGCCACAAAGGCTTGCTAAGAAGAAAGTGCTGGCTAGTGCATTGGCTCATGATTTGGCCATGTCCTTTAGTGGCTTCTCTTTGGCTGGAAGTCATAGCTGCTATCCATTTAGTTCTTGGAAAATCTCTGATAATAGTGGATGTTCATGCACTTTTAAACTAGATCCCCATGATGTGAGGATTAACAGATTAACAGCAAAAGTGACACTGAGAGCCTTTTGCAGAAAGACTTGATGCTTGGAAGGAAACACCCACTACTTATCACTCAATGGACTGAATGTCTTACTGCTCTTGCTACAGTGTATTTCCTACACCTAAACAAAGGTGTAGGAAACACCTACCTTTCCTAAACAAAGACATATGGATGTTTTATTTGGCTATATGAGCTACTTATGTTGACATGCATTTGAAATAGAAAGGCTATTCCTTTCACTCCCTGCTTGTGTTTTGTTTTGTTTTCCTTTTCCTAATAGATAATGATCTCTGTACATTGAAGTTTCATGAATTTCCCCTCCCATTTTCTGTGATCCCCATATTCTATTGCAACTCAGTTATTCCCTCTGGGATAACTGGGATAAAGCTGGGATAACTGGGATCCCCTCTGGGATAACTGAGTTGCAAAAACAAATTAATTAATTGTTAATCAATTTTAATTTCTAAAAATCTGGTTAATTAATTAATTAATTAACAAACCAGATTTTTAGAAATTAAAAATAAATGGAATGGAATGCACAAATGTTGCATTTGTCTCACACGAGAATCGATATGGAATAGCTTGCAATGTGGGGAGGGGAAAAGTGATGGAACAGTTTATCTCAGTGGAATTCATCCCCCATATCCCACAGTTCCCCATAACCCACTCAAAGCTGCTATAGAGCAGTTTTTGAAGGCACAAGTGACTACAGAAGGGGGAATAGAACTTCCATCACCCATGTGGAAATCTGCTTGTGCAACACTGGATATTACCCAATGCATGCGAGTGCCCCAGAGAAAGTCTAACATTCACGGCTTAACTTGCCTAGAGAACTTTCTGTTGTCATCTCTTATTTTGCACTTTTCATAGGGAACTGCAGATCAATGTTTGTGTACATCAGTCTCCGGATAAATAAATAAATGCCCCACAATGGGAAAAATAAAACCACTTCCTATACTAGGCATTTCCCTTCACAGGCAAAATTCCCAGTACAATAGTTGCAGTCACTACAGGGTAGGTGGTGGGTGGGGGGCGTATTATTATTTCTCAGACACTCCTGCTTCCAAAAACCGTTGATGCGCTATTCTAATCCTCCTGGCCACCACTGACACGGCATGCAAAAATAAGTGCTTTCCAGAATCGTCCTCAAGATCTTGTCTTACCAGAGTCTGAAAGGAGCACAAGCACCGCTGCTCGTGGTCCCAGGATGCAGTCCAAGAAAATTCTGCAAGCCACTTCATTAGGAGCCAGCGCCAGAGCTTTGCAATACTGGAAGGGGTGGGGGAAATGTGGAAGCAAATTTGCGCTGGGTTGCTGACGCAATTCCCAACACGTGTTCCTCCCTGCTTTTTTTTTTTTTTTTTTTTCAATGAAAATTTAGATCGGGGTGGGGTGAGGGTTGAGTACATAGACTTTGTCCACGTGCGCACCAGCTGGTCTGGCATGAAGCGGAATGGCTCTGAAGGAGAAGTTCCCCTGTCTGCCACAATAATCCACAAACTAAGACGGCTTTGCTCAAGAGACCATCATCCTTTCCGTCCACGGTCCTCCCTCCAAAACCGCCCTGCCTAAAGGCTGTTTCGCTATCACGTGCGATCAAGACGGACAAGCGATGGGAAGCCGGCCAGCCGTGCCTCATCGCCCACCGCCCGCTCCTTGCCCGCCACGGTTGTGTCACGCCACCGTCGCGCCGGCGGGCGAAGTGGCTTCCAAACGGCACACAAGCCCCTGCGAGAGGAATCCGCAACGACGCTTCGCGGTCGTCCCTTCTTCCAGGCAAACGACAGAGCATCGCTCCCCGGGACGCAAGCGTGCTGCCTTGACACTAATAACCATAACAATGCGATGCTTTGCGCGCTCGCTCGCTCGCTCTATGTCTCTCTGCTTGTGCTAGCACGGTCATCTGGAGAGCTTTAAATAGCGGCGCAGTTTTGCGGTGGTTACTAAAAATACACCGTTGCCTCTTGATCACTGATCTGAGGAGAGCAGAGACGAGCTTTTGGCAGCTGGCGCTACCTGGACTTGCTGCTCTGGAATGAAGGGAGTGCGGTGGGGAAGGCGGGGGGGGGGGCGCCCTCCCCCGCTAGGACGCCGCTCAAGTTCCAAGGCACCACGAAGCGGGGGCGGCAGCGGGAGAGCCACTGCTTCATCCCCCGGAGTGAAGTCTCCGGGAAAGGCTTTCCTTGCCGCCTGCTGATGCGCTTTCCCAGAATCCCGCTCGCCTCCTGCCCCGCACAATTCGACTGAGCACACGGGAACTTCAAGCACTGCGCACCAGCACCAGCCCCCGCGCCCGTCCCAGCCCCCGCACCAGCACCACCGGTGCCGGCGGGGCTGGACTGCCCGAGAGACGCCCGGGGGGGGGGGGGGGGCCCCCCGCCCCCCCCCCCCGGGGAAAGGGAGGGCGCTTGAGAAGGCACTAGCGGGGCGGGGGGGCAACACTGCCCATCTCCCCCGACGACCCCTTCCCCTTGGCAGCCGGCTGCCCCCCGCGACCCGCCCCGCTCCCCCTCGCCTGCGCGGCCGAGGCAGCCTCTCCTCCCCGGCTCAGAGCGCGCCTCGGTCTCGCTGCCGCCCCTCCGCCTCCTCTGCGCGCCCCGACTCTCACCCGCGTTCCTCAGCTTCTTGTTCCTGTACACGGACAGGATCACCAGCACGTTGCCCAGGATATCTACCGCGATGGTGAAGATGAGGATGGCGGCCAGGGTGGAGGCCACCCAGGGGGGCCTGTCCAAGGTGAGCTGGTCCTGCGGCTGAGAGCCGTTCGGCCCGCTCGCGTTGACGCGCATGCCGGGGCTGCTCACTCGGCTGCCATCCCGAGGCAAAGTTGGGCAGCGGGCGCGCGGGGAGGGAGCGCGGCCAAGGCGCGTGCGGCGCCCCCTCGGCTCTGCCCGAGTGGGGATCCGAGCAGGGAGGGCTGCAAGGGGAGTGGGCATCCGCCCCCACCGCTCCCGGACTCCGCCGTCGGCCCGGGGCGCCGCTATCGCCGCCGCCGCCGCTCCCCTGCGCGTTCTCTCCGCTCCCCAGCGCCTGCCATGCCCCCCTCGCTCGGACTAGGAAGTTTCGCCCAAGTGTGCATGTGCCATGGCGAGTTACTTTTATAGGAACCCACCACCTCCTCCTCCTCCTCCTCTGCTCGCAGATCGCCCGCCCCGCTGCTGCAGCTGCCGCCGCCGCCATCCGCACAACCGACCCCCCTCCCCAAGAAGCGGCAGCCTCCCCCCTCCCCGCCCAGCCGCCACTGTTGCCTCCAGGTGACATCTAGCGTTGGCGCCTGGCCTCCCCCTCCCCGGACACGTGCGCTGCGAGGGGATTCCAGCTGCCGCCCGAGCGGGCCGCGAAGCCGCAGCGCCGCCACGAGGCCGCGGCTGGAACGAGCCTTCCATTCACGGCCGAGTTGTAAGCGTGAGGGAGCGCTGGCGCGCGCGCGCGCACGTCTCCGCGCGGCCCCATTCATTCTTTCCGTGCTTCCTTCCATTCATTCATTCATTCATTCGCCCGTCCGTCCATTCATTGATTCATTCCGCAGACCATTCAAAAAGCCAGCCAGGTTCATTCATCCATTCAGGACTGGGCGACTGCAGCTTGGCTAGCGATGGCACCCAGCCGTTCCCGAGCTCTTGTGGAAGGATGCAACGATGAACAAGCCCCTCTTTCCCCCTGTTTTTCGGTTATTTTCCTCTTCGTTGGCTAACATCGTACGGTACCGGGAGAGGGGAAAAGGGCGGGGTGGCAGGTGGTTTGCGAGACTAGGAGAAGGACTTATGCATTTGCCTTCAAGAGCGCTTCGAAGGGATCTCACTTCAGACCAAACGCAAACTCTTTCTGACTTGCTCCGAATGGCACAGAGGAAAGAAGCCAGGGCTGGCTGCGAAACGAGGGACCCAGTCTCGGTTCTGATCACAGTGTGCTATAAAAAGCTGTTCGCCCGGCCGGAGGAGGCGGGGCACCTCGGGACCCGAATCCCCAAAGCAGCACGTGCGTTTGCCTTGCAGAGGAAGGGAGGGGGCAGGGAGAAGAAAAAGGGAGAGTGAGGACAGGAAAAGACTGTCTCGTTTTCTTTGCAGGTGGGCGGAGGGGGGGTGTTTATTTTTGGCATGAAAATTTCCCAGAAAGTCAGACTTCCCCCCGCCCGCGCCGCTTTCTTTCCCTGACTGTAATACAGGCGATTGGAGGTATTTTATCTTTGCCATCAGCACACACAGCCTCTTGCCTCGGAACCACCAGGACAGAAATCGGTCTCTTTGCAGCAACCTTCTCTTCCCACACAGAGATTTCGGGAAGGGGAGTGGGGGACGGGGGGTTATAAGAAAAGGGTTTGCACTCGGTGAAAGATGCTGTCACCTAACAGATACAGTTCACTGGCATTGTGTATTTACAATCAGGCATGGCCGTATAAACAGGCTGGCTGGCATTACAATGGTAAGGAAATCCTTTGTTTGGGTTTGTGTGTGTTTGTTTTTTCAGGTGCAATTCATATACGTTTAAACAACCGAAACAATTCATAGCCAACAGGCAGAAAAACTCATCTTTTGGAAAAAGGAGACAGGTTTTGTTCCTCCTCCATTTAGCAGAGCAGTGATTTCACGAGTCAGAAATTCATACATTCTGGCCAGTCGAGATAACGACTGCCTTTTTTTAAACTGAATAAAACCTTCTTCGTTGAAGCAACTTGATCCTTGTCATTCTATGATGAAGCCATTTCGAAGTCCCGGATCCTGAATGATTAAAATGACCACTGCAGACTGAGAGAGAGAAAGAGAGAGAGAGAGAGAGAGAGAGAGAGAGAGAGAGAGAGAGAATTATGAAGCAGGGGGTTGCTTAATAAGCTGCATAACAAACAAACAACCTAAGAAATTATTGACATTAAAATAAGCGAGGTCTAAGAAGATGCGGCAGCTTCCGATTTGCTACAGCATTGGCACACCATTCATAAAAAAAACTGAGCTAAAAATAGTATCCAGTGCTCTAACACGTGCTGTATGCTAGAAGGAAAGTTTTCTATTATTTGTATTCATCACAGATTCATAGGAACGTCGGACCAGAAAGAAACTGAAGGGCTTCTGAAATAGTGCTGCACTGAGACAGAATTATCCATCCTCAGGCAGTCCATCATAGCAAGAAAACAGGGCTATTTTGAAAGCAACCTTTTGCAAATAAAACCTGGGGAGAATCAGTAGCTTTCCTGAACGCTATGGTAGATCTGACTTCCATTCAGTTATCTGTTTATTTGGATCCATCAGGCTTCATTTGACAGTGTTTTCAAAACTGTGGCACTCTTGAGAATTCCACCTTTCTGTTTTAAAAGCTAAAGTGTCTAGACCTCATGAATGCAATTTCTCAAGTATAAATCTAAGATAAAAATGTTCCCTGATAGAACCGCACTAGTAGCATGCAACCACCACCAGAGGGAGTTTTAGTAGTCATAGGATTCCTGTTCTACGCACTGCTTCAGATGTGGAGCAAATATAGTAGGTGCAATAGACAAAGTTAACTAAACAACAGCACTGTCCGTAAAGCGGATCTCATATTCAGAAGGCAGTAGGCAAGGTTCTGATTTGCACAAAGCTCTTTCTCCAACTGGATATGCAAGAATAATGTGATGAATTTCCGTTTGGGAAACGCAGCCCATGAAATCTGGAACCACCCTTATATTACATGAGAGAGATTCAGCTGTAACGACAAAGGGCTGGGCGTTTGTTCACAGAGGCGAAAGTGTGAGAAGGAAAGGGACGTTTTAAAGTGCAGCTTACTACGTGGAGAAGCCCCTTCTCGGTGGGTCTATGCTGCACCTGCAAGTCAGGATGTACACCTCACCAGGTCCTCCCAGCGAATCCATGCACAGTGAAGCATAGTCATCCCACGGGTCCATTTCCATGCTGCTTGCAGACTATTTCCTACACGAATGTCATCCTTAAAACAAAACCCCAACTGGCCACATAGGATGTGTCCATCTGTGGCTGCCGATTTTGACCTTGTGCAGGAAGCCACCAAGCCCTTATGAGAATGATGGGCCAGAAATTGCAATGCATGGAAACAGGGAATCAGTGAAGCAAAGCCCAGACTGCCCAGCAAGCATCAGGAGGCACAGAGCATGCTCAGTTCCTGGCATCTCCACTTGAGAAGGACCCCCCTTGAGATTCTGGGCAGCTGCCTCCATCCCACACAGAAGGTGCTGAACTACGTGGGCCAATGACTGGATTCGGCCTTCCCTGCACACCACCCCCTCCAGCCCCAGTTGGAGCTCTTGGCAGCAAAGAATGGGGGAAACCAATGACAGAGGCCAGAAAGTGCTGCCTGGGCACTTCGTGGTGGTTGTCATTGGTATTAATTCAGAGCCACTTTGCTCTGTAGCACTTTTGGCTCAGGTGACACGGACATCCAGGGGTGGCTATGAGGCCTTCCTACAGACCAAAGTTTTTGCAGTGTTCTGTGCAGCAGGTTGACACACAACACAGAAAGCCATGGTAGCTTCGAAGCCACTGAGTCTTAGCATGTTGTGGAAACCAAATCGATGAACTGAAATAAGTGTTCGTCATGTCATCACAGTGGGGTTCTTTGATGTATCCTGTGTATGGCTGCAGAGTAGTTGCTTTTTGTTCTAAGGTTTAGGTGAGATGTGTGTTGTCCTCTTCAGCCTACGGTGGAGATACCAAAGGAACCTCAAGTTCTTCAGCATTTTTTCTGTTATTTTCATGATCTTAAGAACTATCAGGAAGTCCCTAGAGCACAGCTTATGAACAATAGACTATTCATAATGAGCAAAGTAATAATATGGGACATCTATGATTGGATCTCCCAAGCTGTTAACGTTTCATTTCAAAGCAGCCACCGATTTTGATTGGACTATTAGCATGTGGGGTGTGGGGTGGGGATACTGATGCATGCCTTTTCCTTCTGAGCATCCAGTAGTAGCTTTGGAGGACGAATTCAGACTTAGGAAAATCTTGCAGGAGGAAATAAACCATGGCCTTCTTTAATGCCATCATTGTGATCAAAATCACAGGTCACTGTAGCTGCAGCCACCCTCTTGTTTTCTCATTGGCCCTGTTTTGGCATTCCTGGCACTCAGTGACCTGAGTTTGCTGTTAGAGGAATGTTGGCATTCCTCTTTGATGTACCTGCCTCTCCCTTTCAGAAAGGCATTCCAAAGAGTCAGAGCAGAAAAAGGTGCATCCTACTTTTGGATTCTCAACAGAATGGTAGAAGAAAGGCAGTAAATGGGAGAAATTCCATCCTGCTATTTTCAAGCATAGAAAAGCACCTTTCTTCTTCATTCTTCTTCCTTTTTTCAGCAGTATACTGCCTTCAGGAGGATACCAGAAAACCACAGGGGAGTGCAAAGATCAGCAAGTTCTGGCATTCCAGCTTCTCAGCTGTTCTTTCCAAATGCACCTAAAAAGTGCCGAGCTTGTGGAGTACAAGTGGGAACTTTCCATGCACACAGTCTGCAGGACTTTCATACCACAGTGACACACTTGAAAAAGAATATATGTATCACATAATATTGTAGAGAAAAGTCTACAATGTCCTGCATTTAAAACAAGTTCTGGTCCTCCTAATATCTTGGCCTATAACTGTCATCAGCTTGGCCAGCATAGTCAACGATGAGGGGTGCTGGGAGCTGTAGGTGAAAAATATTGAAGCTGCCCCTGCCAGTCTAATATCAAGCTATCATCATTAGTGCAAGCTTGATTTCCATGGATCAAACATTTCTTTAGATGAACCATGAATCCCTAGATTTTTGCATTCTTGTCTTCTTGATCACAACCTTGGGCGTCCGTTATCACTCACTGCATGTTGCTTCACCCATTTCTGTCTGTCAGTATTGTATACATGCTGTTCTGTTTGTACAGCTGATTTTGTCTGACTTAGCAAACATGATCTTGCTTGATTATCTAAATTCTAAGTCAGGCCACTCACTGAAGGCATTAGCAGGACAAAGGGCAGAGGACACATAATAAAACTATTACAGCCACGTACAAACTCTGTTCTTACATTATACACCACACAGAGTATATCCTAGCAGTATAGGCATCCATTTTTAATATATTTTTCCCACTTTGTCAGGAAGAACATTAGAGGAAGGGGGACACTCACATGTCCCTAACCGCCAGAATGCAGGCAGTCACTGGGGGTTGGTTTCCTGCCAGACACGCTCTGCTCCAAATGCCAATTGCCCTGCGACTGCAAGGGAAATGCCCCCCCGCCCCCGCAATGCTCAGAGCTGCCTAGGCCATATCTAGGTGTCATTCCCTCCCTTTGAGCAAGAATATTGTCGAGGTTAAGGTAAACTTGGCCCTAACAAGATGCAAATGCTGGAAGCAACTAACCACTCTGTTCTGGCATCACCAAATTGCCAGAGCAGTTCTCCTGTCTTCCCCTTTTTGAAGCTGTAAGCCTAGTCTTATTTCATGCAGTTATACCCTGCATATTTGGTAGCACATAACATGTGGTCACAGTTAGTCCATAACAATATACACTTCTGGAAATGTACATGGAAAGCGAGTTTACATACACAATCCCCCTTTAGACATATTGCTGTATATACTGGATGGGTATGTATCCAGTATACAGCACGACAAGCAACAGTGTTTTTTAAATCTTCATTGAACTGTCATGCTGCCTGAACCCCATTTTGGTATTTCAGTGTGATAGGCTTGGTTTTTGGAAACCATGAAGAAAAACAAGGGTCTGTTCTGCTTTTCCTTGGTACTATGATGGCCTGTTGTGCCATCTGTACCCAAAAAAAAATAGAGCTCACTGTGGTACTGAGGCCAGCACCACAGAAACGCTTGGCAAGAGTGGCCCATTTTGCATAGCTGCCGGAGCCATTCCAGTTCCATCTGCTCCTTGCCCTAAGGATCCTATGGAAGCAAATTCCCTTTCTGTTACCCCCGCCCCCCATTCTTAGTCCTCCTTGCCAAAGAGTCAACCCCATCCTGGCACAGAAGGGTATGCTTCTCTGGCAAGAGGAAATGAGAAAGTGGAGAGCAAGTGCCAGCTCCCCCTTTGTTTCTAGAAGGATACCTGGTGCACAGCAGCTTAAGGAAGCTTCTCTGGTAAGTGGTATAAAGAAAAGGGGATGAGTGGAGAATCAGCTGAGTGCTGCTGCCCCGAATTGGGCACCTCCACCCTCTGATGCTCTGCCTTCCCACCTGATTACCTGTGCAAAGAGCTTCTCTCTGGAGCAGGTGGAGCGGGCAGAGTGGGAATCGTTTGCACATCGATGCTTCTTTCCACCACTTCTGCTGCAGGAGGCGAGGGTGCCTGATCAGCTGCCTGTGCTCTCTGCTGTATGCCAGGACATGAGCCCTGTTTGCACAACAGAGACTGCTTGTCGGGCACAGGGAGCCAAGTTTGGTTTGTGATTGCAGTTGCCAAAGAGGTGAGCCTCATCCCTCCTCATGGTGTCTCCCGGAGGACTGAGAGGGAACAGCTTCACTTGCCATGATGAGAATGATCATGTCAGGCACATCCATGCAGAAAAGCGTGCCGGCCGGCTTGCCATGACATATGAAGGCAGCCGCCGTGTGTCAGAAATTCAATTAAACGTGTAGCCTGAGTGTAATTACTACACTATTACATTTCCTTGAAATTCTACACCAAGAGTGGGCGGCTTTTGACCATCCAGATGTTTTGCATTCTAACTCCCATCAGCCCTATCCAGCACTGCCAATCGTGTGGGGCCGTGGGAGGTGCTTGCCAAAACAACTGGGGAACCACAAGTTGCTCACCCTTATTCATAGTGCAATCCATTAAAATTGGTGCAGAAGGGGCCAAATCCAGTATATCTTGGGTTCCTCAAATGCCTATGCCCCCTTCCAGTTGTCCTACCCATCTTCCCCAGCCACCAATTATTTTTGTGCCATAGTCTCCCAGTTTTAAATGCTTGAAATCCCTCTCCTAAGACCTGGTTACCAATAATAAACAGCTTTAGCACAGAATAGGTTAGATTTTTGGAAGCCCCTCCTTTGCTGTTGCCGTTGCTGTTGCTATTGCCCACCACTGGAATGCATCTCCAGAGAAGCCCCACCAATATGAAATGTGACTCTGGAGCTGAAAGAATTTCAAGACTCCTACTTTAGAAGTATAGAAAATGTGGATCAGCAGCAGTATGCCTTGTGTTTTGGGTGTGAGCCACTTCAGAACATAATTCTGTATGTGAAAAGTGGAGGGAGCCATTACATTATAATGAACTGACCAGTTAATGGAGGCATCGTTTTCTCAAGCCTCTTCTATATTGGAATACAGATATGCTTATTCTGTCCACATGGTGTTTGTTTGCACTTAAAATGAGCCCAAAGCAAACCCCATATTTGGCAATTCAGCAGCTGCAGTACAGACTGCGGCAGGTTCCTCAGGACTGGGATAACTGTATTCCTGTCAGGATGCTAAGAACCCGCAGCAAGGTTGCGCCATGCAAGCATCCAGAGCATCTGGTGCAAAACCAGCATTCCTTTGAGAGGTGTGCCTGGCGCTTAGTTTATATTATTTTCAGTTGCTTTTATTTCACTTATTTAATTTGTATTTTTGTTTAATTGTTATTTATTGCTATTTTAATGTGGTTGTTTTAATGATTGTAAGCCATCCTGAGAGGTCATGCATAAGGGATGGCATAAAAAAGTTTTGAATGAATGAATGAGAGGATGGGATTCCTGGAATGAGACAGGGAAGAACTCAGAAGGGGAGATGAGCTGTTGTGCATTTAACAATTATTTAAAAGAAAATCATGAATGGACAGTTTCAATTGGCATGGGGTGGGGGTGCAGCAAGGGTCCTTCGTGGGGGTTCCCCACCCCTGGAGCTGTCCCTGTTGCTTCCTAAGTCTTTTTAAGACTTCCAAAATAATTCACAACACTTGCCAGAAATCTGAGAAACATACACCCAGTTATTTCTGAGTCCAACCACACTGCACTGGTTTCAGCATTAGTTTCCACAATCTGTGGCTGGATCCATCTTATTCCAGATGTTTCCATCCAACCCGCAGGTGCATTAAAGCTTTCATGAGGTCAGTCTTAAGGTATGGCAGCCATGTTGCTAGAGGGGACATGTCCCAGCCTGTGTGTCCCAAAACTGTCCCCACTGGGAGAAGTTCTCCAGATCAGCAGACTCGAAATTAGTTGACTCCTTACTTGGAAGCATGGCTGCCTGAGGACACCTTGTCCATTCACCCTAACCAAGCATTATGGAAGAACCCAATCCATTCCTAACCAAGCTGGAGTTGACCTACCAGGAGGGTGCTGGGTTGGAAAAGCAGCTGTTAGGCTGATCTGCTCTAGCAGTAAAGAAGGGCTGTGCATCTTTCTGAGTCCAACTGGATGCAAATGATCATGGGCCTTTTGAGATGCTCCGTTACAGTAGATGCAGCCAGGGATGAGGGATATCCTCAAAAGGATGAACTAATTCCAGCAGTGACTGGCAAGAGGGAGGGACTGTGGCTACAACAAGAGGGGACACTCCTTTTCCCCTTCCCAATGACCACGGGAGGGGCCAAAGGAGCCCAGAAGAGCTGCAATTTCTTGATGAGCCTGGGCTGACTGTTCTCTTCTCTGCCTCATGCTCAAACATCAGGCAAAAGCTCAACTTCTGTTGCTGCTGCTGCGGTTGCGTGTGTGTGTTGAGCTCAATCCGGATTAGCCATGGACAGTCCACTGCAGCTGCTCCTTAATATCCACCAGGAGGGATGGAGGTCAGTAACCAGCAGAGCTGGCACAGCATGGAGATTCAGAGTGGTTCCCCGCCCCTATTTTTAAACTGCAGCTTATTTGGCGTATTGATTGAGCAATTGCATTGAGCATACAACTTTCCTCATCATCTCAACATGTTGCTTTCATGACGTATGCACAATGCCTTCATTGAGAATGGATCTAAGGATGATCTGCGCTTCGCAGCACAGTATTCTACTGGGGAGAGCCATCCCCCAACCAGGAACCCGAAGCGGTCCAGACAGATCCTCAAAGAGCGCTCTGAATGCCAAGGCCAGGGCTCTCTGACCATTCTAAACCCTGGGCATTGCTCCTGTTAAACTTCACCACCGCTTCATATTTAGTTCTGCGTTTCCCGCAAGCCAATGGAAAAAGGGGGAAAGCAGCCTTTCCAACTCAGCCAGGTGGTATACAACTGTGAACCATCCCCAAACTTTTTATCCTAGGAGAACAGAAAATCTGTGGGAACAGATGGTGACTAGGAAACCCAAGTAGGTCACTCTCTGCTGAGTTAATGTTCAAGCTAACACAGTACACTGCCTGCGAGCATTTGCTTTGCTCCATTTTCTGTCAACTGCCTTCAGTGTTTTTCATCAATTTTGATCTAATGTGGTTGATAAATGCATTTTATTTGATTCTGTAATTACTTTTAGGCCGAAGCTCACAGAGATATTAAATAAAATCAGGCTTATAAATTCTTGTAATAATAGGCTGGCTGACTTCTCCCCTATCAGATTCTACTGCTGTTGTAGCTTAGGCTCTTTCCTTCTTCCCAGGAGGAAATAATTAAAAATTAAAAATAACAGTGTAATTAAAAGTGACAATGGGGAATAAGTTACGGAGCTATGGTTGGCAAGTAGCACATTCTGCCGCTGCTGGGGTGGAAGCATCTCATAGGAATGTGTCTTATACCAGCCCAGACTATCTTTTCTCCATCTCACCTACTGCCCATCTTTTTTCCGCCTCACTCTCAGAGCATTGCCTACTCCGATAAGCACCAAGTAAAAGGGGCAAGTAGCTGAACTCTGCTGGAAGTTTTCCATCAATGGTAGAAAACCTTTTTGGGCTGTGGGTGCATTTGGCATTTTAAGGAATAGTTGTGGGCACCAGTGCAAAATGGCTGCTATGCGAAGAGCAGCAAAGGACACGTAACTAATTCAGAAGGCTCAAAGACGAGACAGAGGTGGGGCTTGATACCCAAAGCATTAAACAACTCTTTGAACCAACAGTTTTCAGCACCATCAGAAATCTGCTGCTGGTGGTGAATAAAGATGTTCGTTAAAGAAAAAGTGGGAAGCAATGGGCACCTTGGTGGGCACCATGAATGTCCAATGCTTGGGGTACAATGCTGCCCATGGGCACCATGTTATCAACCTCTGCACTGCATGCTGGGAGTGCAACCTGCATCTTCTGCTCTACCTGCAATGGCTTAATGACCTCTTCAGCCGGAACAGCAAGGCAGGCTGTAAGAGTCATGTGAATGCCTTCAGGAAGCTAGGCAGGTCCACGAATCAAGTTCCACATTGGTGATAAAGTCTCTGGTAGGTACTTCAAGTGAGTAAAGGAGGAAAGTGAGTGGATAGACTGATGGATAATTAAGGTGGGCCCATCCAAAGGGGCCCAACCAGCTAGTAAAAGGAGTAAAGGCCTAATGAAAGAAAGTGAGCACTGAAAGTGATGAAGCCAGTAAGCTGGGTGCATATAAAAGTAATGTGATTCATAGAAACATAGAAGCAGAGTGAGTCAGAAGGGGTCCCCTGGGTCATCTAGTTTGACCCCTGGCTCCAGCTGGCTCCACTCATGACATGCCTACCATGCCATAGCTAGCACCAGTCAATTCCTATGGGGCAAAGCTCAGGGAGCCAAGATTTAGGGTGGATGCCAGGAAGTGCTTCCTGACAGTTAGGACCCCAAGGGTAGAATGGGCTTCCATGGGAGGTGGTTGAAGCCCCATCAGTGAGGGTGTTTAAGGATAGGCTGGAAATGTACATGGTAGACATGTCATGAATGGAGCTGGCTGGAGCTGGGGGTCAGACTAGATGGCCTGGGAGGATCCTTCTGACTCTTTATGTTTCTAAATGAGTCAACTAGAAAATTCCCTAAGGAAAATAAGCAATACTTGATCATGTTCTAGCACATGCACTTTACTCACTATGGTGGTGAGATAAGGGCAGAAATTGTATGGCACTGTTGCCAAGAGAGAGGAAGAGACTTTGGGGAAGTAAGACTGTTCAAGTTGGGAACATAACTTTTGAAGCTAGAATGGATTCTTTTCTTCCTCGCCTGTAACTAGCAGGGAAGAAAATTGTGACCTACTATAATGGATACTTTGATGCTTATTGTGATATTGGGATAATGCATGTGAAATAGGAGTCTTGCAAGAATTCAGACTGGGTACCTGGATAGGGAAGCACCACTCTTCAAATTCTTGGCAGTGCAATGATAGCTTTCCCCTCGGTTCTGCCTGAACTGTTCCTGCAGGTCCTGCTAGATTCTGACTACTTGTCCCAGAATCTCAGGGCAAAGTGATGCATTGCAGACTACTTAAATGCAGGTTGCCCGCCCCAAGGTACATTTTGGAGTCTTTAGAGAGGTCGTGGTGGGAATACAGGTAGCTTGTTATAA